GAGAGTTCATTCCTTACTTCTTCCATCATCTTTTGGAATAAAACTCCTAGCCAAAAGGGCAACTGATACAGATGGCACAAACAGAGCATCAGAAGCTGCTTAAGTCATGATAGAATCACAAGCTCTCAAGGATATCCTGGAAACCCCTCTTCCCCCTTCCATTCTAACATATCCTACTATGGGACCCAGGCAAAATTCAGAGGTTAATTACATAACAAAGAAAAGAATGCTACAGTAATGAAGCAAATTGTGTGTTTGTACTTTTAAATTAATAAGACAAAGAGTTGTTCTATATTTATATACAAACATTCATACATGGCTATAGAAACCAAACATTTTTCAGTCCTGTCTCTATTTTCAAATAGTTTCAACATCTTAATCCATTTACAATTACCTTGACTGATTAAGTGGTAAATTTTATTTTAGTCATTGCAACGGTATAAAAATTCCAGACACAGACATTATTTTTATCATGCTACAAACTCATTTTAATTAATTAATTTATTTATTTATTTTTGGTACCGGGGATTGAACTCGGGTCCTTGCAGCAAAGCCACTGAGCTAAATCCCCGGCTCTACAAACTCATTTTAAATTGCAATTTCCAACTTTATAAAATCACGTGTTAGCACATATTTAATCTCATAATGACAATTATAAAATAATCATGAAACCCAAAGACACCAATGTTTGTTCAAGGTATCATGATGAGGATTATGGAAACACAGTGGAAGTACGTCAGCTGCATGAAAGCCAATAGAAATGAAAGTGACATGGATTAAAAAAGAATTTGCCTATTTGAAATGGTCTTTTACTAATATCAAGGCCATAATGTAGTATATTTGGATAAGTGGTAATGAACTGGTTCTATAAACACAGATTATTCAAGTAGAAAGTAGACAGAAGTCTGACGTCATCCTAGAAGGTCAGAGCTTTGGGCATTTAGAAAAAAATTTTTTTTAAAAAGAAAGAAAAGGGAAAGAATGAAGCTCGGTGGGCCCAGGGAGACAAACTGTATGGCGATGCTGACATAATGGCATGATTTATCTTATTTCTTTTGAGTGTGATCTATAATCTTTAAGGATTTTAAAAACCAAGTTGAAAGTTAAAAAAACAAAACACAACCAAAAATCCTTTCTATTTTTTCCTCTCTCCTCAAATTTTAAACTCTTAAAGATGAGGATTTATTACTGTATGCTCTTTTATCCCAACTTAGACTTCAGTATTCTACAAATCAAGAGCTCTTTAGAAAATATTGATGTTAATGAGTAAACTGTACTAATTCATGGTTTAGTTCAATAGAATAAGCATTTACTGAATATCTATTATGCCCACATTGGACCAAGTGCTAGGAAGACTACAAGGGCATAAAAATAACCACATAAAAAACATGAGACTTACTATTTGCCCCTTTCTATTTATCTGTCAAGAAATTCAAAGCTAAATTTGTTTAATTGCAATAACTGTTTTTAGACTGGGCTTTCTGTAACAATTCTATTATGGTGACTCATATTTTAGACTTGGGGAAAATATGTGCAACATATTGAATAATTAAATAAATGCTCTAATTCCAGATAAAGTGAGTTAAGCAAAATAGCAGTAAGGCGCCACTGAGGATTCACAAGAAGAGACAATTGCATGAAAAAAGGAAACAGGAGGTGAGTCTTTTGGGAAAGGGTCGTTCCAGGCAAGAGAACAAGTGGGCAAAGGATAATTGGGAAGAATAGCTCAGAAAGAAGGTACGAACAGGGAATGTGTTGTTTCCTTCATTAATTCTAACAACAACAGCAATAACAGTAAAATTACCCACTCTTCTAAGAACAAAAAAAAAAAAAGGAACCATACTGGTATGTTGTTCATATATGTAAATCTACCAATAAGCAGGTTAGTGGGATGTTCCTCTTGCTCCTTATGAGGTCAGGGACTGGGAATGATATGACCCTGTTTCATTACAGGAACAACAAGCAACAATAAATCACTAGAGAATGAATGAATGAATTTCATCCAGTAGGTTCTCAATAAATGCTTTATGACTGTGGTCAGACAAGGCACTCAAGCCGTAAGGCATTTTTGGTTTTTTATGAATATTTAACATATTATACTTTCCCCTGTATTGTCTATCTTCTCTACTGAGCTCAAAGCAATTTATTGTTTGGGGGCGGGGTCAGGATTTATTCTTTACACTTTAAAGACAGAAAGTCTGAAAAATAAAGAGGAAAATGAGCTGTCTATAGATCATGGTATTTAAGGGGCAAAAACTGGAGAAAAGAAAGCAATTTCCCATTGTATGTGTAAGGAAAATGCAAAGTAGAATCTGTGAGTTCATACTGCGTAATCAAAATTAAAAGAACTAATAAAGAGAGAAAGTATCACACTAGTTCTGAAGTTAAACACAAAATTCTCTTTTGTCCATGCAATGAATTAACCCTGTTTTCAGAAGAATGGGATCAAGAGCAAAGAGAGTTCAGTGATGCTGGAAACAAGCTAGCAGACTAAGACACTGTTTAGTCAGCTTTGTATGGTTGCTCACTTGCTGGAGTCCTGTGTTTGTCAAACTGTAGGTTCCAATTCATTAGTTCCTCATAAAATCAATTTAGAGAGTCACAACAAGTATTTTTTTTAAAAAAATGCATATATGTATATCTGTCTGTCCATCCATCACTTATTGTTTCATGAAACTTTTATTTTAGTTAATAACCTATAAATATATAAATGTATGTTCTGGGTCAAGTTGCTAATGAACTCCAATCCCAGTCAAAAAATGTTTGAAGTCCCTGCTGTATTCTCCCCCATTGGCTTTCGGGTCAAGAGGACTGAGGACCCATTCGCGGATTTCAGTAAAATTAAATTCATGACTTCAAAGGTTACAGTGCAATTTACTGATTTGAGAGGACACACAGGCCCTGTGATAATCAAGGATCAAATAGTTAAGAGTTCATGAATGTGGGTGAGGATTTGCTAATGCTAAACAAATGGCTTACATCAGTGGTTCTCAGCTTTTTAGTCTGAAGACCCCTTTATACTCTTAAAAATTATCAAGGACTCCTGCAAATAAGTTTTGTTTATGGGAATTATAGTCATCCATGAGTATTTGCTATATTTAGAACTTATTTGTTTAAAATTATAATTTAAGCTATTAAATGTAAATATAAATATATTCTCATGAAAAATATTTTTCTATAACAAAAAAATAGTGAGAAAGTAGCACTGTTTTACATTTTTGCAAATATCTTTAATGCATGGCTTAATAGAAGACGACTAAAGTCCCTTCTTTGTTTATGCCTATAATCTGATATTACATGTGTTTTGTTTGACACATACGAAGAAATTCTGACCTTACACTGATAATGTAGTTGAAAAAAGGGATGAATATTTTAATAACCTTTCAGATAATTGTGGCTCTTCTTTGACAATACATCAAACCTTGACAAGTGGCAGTTTCTTGAAGATTAGTTGCAAGGTGCTATCCAGAATCATATCTATCAACGTTTCATATTCTGGTACACTAAAACCCATTAGTCCATATTGCCCTTGAGTGGATCTTTTCCCTATGCAGAATTATGTAACATCAGACACTTGGTCATTTGGAAAATATTGAGTCACAGAACTAAGAAGATCTTCCCAATGTTGTCACTTTATCTTATATGTTTTTAAAAAACTGCAATCATTAATATCATTGGTCTCATCAGAAAATATTTCAAGTATTGAGAAGCTATCAAGTAGCATATATTTTCTAAACTGATAATTCCTACCATAAGATTCAAGTATTATCAGTAACAATAATAATTGTCCCTATTTTTCTGGAAGTGACAGGCAAATTGTTTTTTAAAATGTCACATATCTGGATAACCATAGTTTGCCCGTCTTTCTTTCAAGTAAAAATAGTGTTTCATGAAAGTAAAACAAACAAACACACTCAGTTTACAATTCAAGGACAGAATTTTCCAGGTGACAAATACAGCACTTTGACATGCAGCAGAGTGCTTGACCCATGCTTCCTATTGTTTTTAAGACTGCCTGACAGTGAGGAACACATTGACCACTGGTTCGGTAGATACCCTGCTCTGGTTCAGGCTAAGGCACAGCGCTTTTACCTACCATTGCTTTTTTTGTTTCGTTTTGTTTTGTTAAATTCTTTTATTGGTACATTGTAGGTATACAACACAATTACATTTCTCATTGGGAATTGTACCTTTACATGACGCATCTTGGTTCTTATTTTTTCCCCATTCCTAGCTCTCCCTTCATCCCCTCCACCCTTCCCTATTTGCAAAGACTTCATTTCCATTTTTTCCATTTCCCAGCATTTTTCCTTTCCCTTCTTTCCTTCTCCCTGCCCCTCCCACTACCCCTACCCCTTTGGACCTTTTCTTCCTATTTTGCATTATCGATTATTCATTCTAATCATCGGTACATTTTAGGTATACAATATAATGACACTCATCATTGGAAATTTGCACCATTGTTTTTACACCACTGAAGCAAAAAAGTCAACACTGTGAACAAAGCAAGTAAGTCTGCGTTGTTATGATAATAGTTTTGACCTTGGAGATCCCCCGAAAGGGTCTTAAGGTATCACCCCCCCACCCCCCCGAGGAGGGTGTTGGGGACACTTTGAGACCTACTGGGTATCCGCACATTAAGAAATCAGAGGGGTTTTTTCCCCCCAGAGTTATTAATGCTCGAAGCTTATTTATTATTATAGGTTTGATCACCGAAGCGCCAAAAAACATAAATGCCAAGGTGTCAAACACATCCAAGGGGAAATCCTATCGCGCACACAGCTCTAAAGCGCATGTAAGAAGATAATAGCTTAGAGAGAGGAAAAAAGAAAGAAAACCGGTTTCAGAAGGCCGCCCTGGGCTTGACGTTGCCAGTGGCAACGATCCTGAGCTAGAAACGCGGACGTCGACTGGTGATGCCTTGTCTTGGCCAGCGAGGGGAGAGGGCGGAGCAGATAAGAGTCAGAAGGCGTCTCCAGGCTGTAGTTGCCTGGGTTTTCCGTTGCTCTACCACTCGCTCATTCTGCGATCTATTAAAAGTGGCTTCCTGAAGCCGGTGAAGAGGTCCGGGAGGGAGGGAGGAAGATGGCGGCCGTGGCGCCTGGCGGCCTGGTGGGGAAGGGTCGCGACATCAGCCTAGCCGCCCTGCAGCGCCACGACCCCTATATCAACCGCATCGTGGACGTGGCCAGCCAGGTGGCTCTGTACACTTTCGGCCATCGGGCCAACGAGTGGGTGCGTGCAGACGCGACGGAGCAGTGCAGACCCGGGCTGGAGCGGGAACGGGGTCTTACTCGGGGTTCCCAGAGCTGGTGAGGGAGGACACGCCTACGATGGCGGTGGATCTGGGCCTGAAGCCGAAGTTGTGCAGATTGGATTCCTGGGTTTGGGGGAGGGAGGTCGACCCGAGAATCCACCTGGAGTTAGGGGCAAGACTTAAATATCGAAGGTCCCCCGCGTGGGGGACCAGAGCGGTCAGCCACGGGACCTGAGAGCTGAAGGAAAGAAAACACCTGATGCTCTGAGGCGGGAAGACGATATGCTCCAGGAAAATAAAGCAGTTTCGTTGCAGTAAAAACGGTAGCGGTAGAGGGGACAGGCTAGGAAACCAAAAAAAGAATTCTGCTTCTGGATCAACCATTTTAGATGGGGCGAAGAGAGCTCAAAACTTGATGGAAGGGGAGAATCTGAAGTACTCGGGGAAAACACCAACCGAGGAGCAAACACTGCAAAATGAAAAACAAAGTGGGGCGGTCTGACACTTAAAAGGAAGATGATGTTCTAGGGAAGATGAATACACTATAGCCTTTGGTACTGGAGACCATTTGGTAGCTGAATTATTCTAGTGCTTTTCTCAAAGCTGAGCCCCAGTAAATACTAACACAAGGAAATTTAACTTTTTTCACAAGTAGAATGTGGTAGTATGAAACTCTTGGGGAGTCCAGATGCAGGAATTGCCCGATGTAATTCTGTAAACCATCTCCTTGAATGTAGGGACATGTAATTGTTTTCTCTTTCTTCATAGTTGTTTTGTACCAAGTGATAACTCATCTGTCTGTTATGTAATCATCCATTATTAAATAATTTAGAACTTAACTTGAAATGATTTCAGATGAATTTCTGATGAGTTTTTCAAATCAGGAACAAATATCACAATTTAAGGAAATTTAGCAAATTCATTTTTTAATGCCCATATTGATAAGCAAGTCCACTTATCTCTTCTTCAGCAGGTGGTTAGTAAATACTTGAAAATCATTGATGCAAAAATGAAAACGCTGTAAAGGGTTGGGTAGGTAGCTTTGTGGTAAAGCACTTCCTTAGCCTGTCTCAGGCCCTGGGTTTTATCCCCAGTACCACAAAAGTACAAAACCAAAAGGCAGATAAAAAAAATATATATATATATATGTATCACCCAAAATGAGAGAGGATGTGTGACAAAGTCCTAGTTGCCAAACCCAAAAGGAAAACATGGAGCTCTCAACACTCTCATCACTTGTAGTAGAAAACGAATCATTTGATTGGGAGAAGCTATTTCCCGCCAGTTAGCAGGGGAATTTGTCACCTGGGTATTCATATAAATGACATTGAGCAATATAGTGGATAATATCCTCCACGATGAATATATATATATATATATATATATATATATATATATATATCTCCTACATGTGGCTGTTTTACTGCTCTATAGACTGCTGCCAAAGGTATAGCATAATTTTGTAATAAAGACCAGGGATGTATTGTTAGTATTCTAAGCTGACTTGGTGCTAGGCTTAGTCTGGAGAATCCTGATAAATTGCTAACCTATTTGGTAGAACATTTCTCTTTAATGTTGTTTCCTAAAGGCCTTTGATCTGTGTGATAGAGACCTTTTAAAATCATTGCAGAGCTTTATTAGGTGCCCAGTGAAGCCCATTAACAAAAGCCTCGTCCAGAGGCAGAACTGTCACCATGCATTATTTACAGGAGTTATGTTTTCCTGTTTCCTGGACTTGTTGCCTTCAGACAGGCATAATTCATTCAGTAAAAGGTCATTCTTTCAAATACTAATCTTCAAGGCTGTGGTAGCCAGGCAAAAAAAAGAGACCTAGTTCAACTACAGAGTACTTGCTGGGGGCAAGTAAATTGTCACAACTGTCTCCGAATGCCATCACTCAGGTCTCTGACCCGGGAGCCTTTAGAATATAAACCTAATAAAGGTATACAGAACATCAAGAATGGAGGAGAAAGGAAGTTTGCAGGAAGGCAGATGGGAATTCTTACTACCCTGAAATACATAAATGACACCAGGAACTTATAGGAGAAATCAGGAGTGACGATCAATTGAAAATTAGCTGATTTAAAAAAGGATGGTGAGGCTGAGGATGGAGTTCGTTGATAAGAATGCGTGTTTAGCATGCACAAGGCCCTGAGTTCAATCCTCAGCATCCAATAAATAAATAGGAAAAGGAATTATTGTGGAATGGGAAATTTTAGGGCTAGGCCTATTTTTCCATTGCCTGGAGAGATGGCTCCCCAACAATACCTGTGTGAATTGAAAACTATAATCCCTTGTATTATCCCCCCCCGCCTTTTTTTTTTAGTCCTTAGAGCAGTGGCTCTCAGCTGGAGTTGATTTTTGCCAGTAGATGACATTTGGCAGTATCGGAAGACTTTTTCTTGTCACTGAGAGAGGGTGTTGCTAGCATCTGCAGGTTACAGGCCAGGGATAAAGCTAAACATCATACAAAGTATACGCATTGTTATGCATCCTACATCAAAGATTTGTCTCCTCTAAAATGTCCAAAATGCTAACTTTGAGAAATTTTCTTAAAATGACTAGTGCCCCGTATTTCCAGCTAATGGTTTTCTAAGTTTTCTGTGCATCAAAATAACTCGAGAGTTTTTAGAAATGTAACACACCAAAACCTTTGGATAATGCTCAGGCATTAGATACTGTTGAACACTTCAGAGGTGACTGATGCCACATGAATGATGGAGGAGACAGATTTGGAAAGATAAATTGGACCTACTTTTTCATTATTTTAACTTAGAATAATCAGTAAAATTGAGATTGCTTTGAGCTGTTTTAAAAGTGTCAGTGTACTGAGCCTCGATAATTTACAAAACAGCATTGTATTCCATTTTGTTATTTTTAAATTTGAATTTTGAGCTGAATTCATACTTAGATTTTATAATAGTGTATATATCATTAAATTGTACTTTTAAAATTTAAACCCACTCAGGGCTATAAATTAATACTTAGGGTTTCTCCACACTTGGAAGATCCAAGGAAGTTCTAATAAAATCCTGTTTTAACTATTCCCCATACTCCCAACCCTGGACTTTATACAGTAAAAGGGAAAAAAAAATCTGATTGCTCTTGGATAACTGGAAGGATCAGGAAAAGGCATGAACTTGAGCTGGCTCAGCAATAATAAACCAGAAATTTATATTTCCAAAGACCTCTTTTTCCAGGTATCATAGAGCTCTTAAAGTATGGGGTTTTTTTGTTAAAAGACCTGAGCAGAATAGACCAGTTTTCTCTTCGGTGGAGAAATTGAGATTCAGAACAATAAATAGCCCAGTGTGATCTGGCAAGAACCCAGCTCTAGAACCATATTGTAGTTATAGAAACGAAGCTCCTTTCCATTAGCAAGCTGAGAACAAATGTCAGGTTTAAGACTTGTTTGTTATGAGTTAGAAAAATAATTCTAGGAAAGGCTTTCCTCTTACAGTTCTGATTTTGGATTTTTCACAACCAAAAGGTGGTGTTGAAGTTTTTTTGTTTTCAGAAGGAAAGAGGAATTTGTTATATCAAGGAAGAAATGAAACAAGTCAAAGTCTGTCAGCTTCTCTGTGCTGGTACATATTTTGATTTGCATTTCCAAGGTTAAACAGTCCAAGGTCAAATACAAGAAGACACTCCTAAAAAAAAAAAGACACTCCTGACCATGCACATAGGTTCTTCAGAGTCTTAGTTCTGTCATCTGTATTCTAACGTCAGTATCCTATCAATGTAGTGGATAATAGCTAATATTTAGTTTCTACAATTTGATTCTTTATTGTGGACTACTAAATGCTTGCCAGTTGGACCAGCTGAACCTCAAAAACACCCAGAAATTCTTAGACTGGGTAGCATTTATTGTACTGTCATGGCCATTTTCTCTGTAATTAACAGTGTAGGGGTTTGAATTTAATTCTTAGTTCTGAAAGTATACTCAATATAGATTTTTCAGCCAGAGTTAATTTTTTATTTGTTTACAGAGAATGGTAAGTAATACTTCTGTATTTTTTTCATTTTTGATTAATTATTTTCCAAAGCAGTGACAAATGGGCCACGTTGAGAAATAAGGTTACTTTTCACAGTACATTGGGGTGATTTATGGAAATTTCATACTAAGTGCAGTTGAAAATGAACTTTTTCATACCTATTCCTATATGTTAGGGAAAAGCTAAATTTTTTTAAACTGGTATAAGTTCGAATTTCTAACTGCATATTCTATAATTAACATCTGAAGACTAAAAATATTATTACTAAGTGATGTTTTCAAAGGCATTTACTCTTTTATTTCCCAGTTAAGTGATTTCCCCTTTTTTTATTAGTATATGTTTGCGATAAATAATAAATACATTCATTGTAGAGAATTGGTACATATGCACATCGCATCTTGATCCTTTTTCTTCTCCCTCCCTCCTGTCTTCCTCATCTCCAGATACCCTTCCCATCTCCACATAGTTTCCCTGTTTCCTATCATCTTTTATTTTGTTCTTTATACTTAGAGCTTCTCATATAAGAGAAACCATGTGGTATTTAATCTGTGTCTGATTTATTTCACTTAGCATTATGGTCTCCAGGTGCATCCATTTTCCTACAAATGACTCCAGTTTATCCTTTATGGTTGAGTAGTACTCCACTGTGTATATATACCACATGTTCTTTAACCATTCATCTGTTGATGGACTATGTTTTGTGATAATTTGATACAATTTGGACTGGAGTGGATTTTGCTTTTATGACTCCTTATATATTTCCATGGCCAGAGAATATGTTGGGAGAACATATTGAATTCAGGCAGTGGTTTGCAAATTCATATGCTTCAAAATTACCTGGACAGCTTACTAAAAATCAAATTGCTAGATGACATCCCCAGCATTTCTGAGTCAGTGGGTTGTGGCAAGGGCCAAAAACAGTATTTCTATCAAGTTTTTATGTGCTGTTGTTGCTGTTGTTCTGGGGACCATACTTTGAAACCCACTGAAGTAAGGTGACCAAGAAAATTGTTGAAATTACTTGAGCATGTGGAAGAATCATGCTTTCAATTTTTGCGTGCCTCCTAAAAATTGTTATTTTGGTGTTATACTTTTTTTCTTAAAAGGTGCATTTTTTAGCAAAATTATAGAGTATTTAATTTGAATGATTTTGGTAATGGATATTAATAATAAAATATTAGGGGCTTAAGTAGAATGCTGAAATTAAACCATGTAAATAGCAAAAGCACATTTTAAATTCAGAATTATGATAGCTTGATCACTAGTTAAACGTAAAAAACTTATATGCATTATGTTGATGAACATTATTATTGGGCCAGGGTTCTTGCCTCTGGCAGTATGGAAAAGAAATGCCAGATGAATTAACTGAACTTTAATTTTAACTTTACCACCTCCAGATTTTCTCAGGCAACTCTGGATTCCTAACTTGGTAATATTTCTAACTTTATTTCAAAGTTCTTGGATAAAAATTTGACTCTAAATATTCCATACCAAGTAGGTGATTTATTCATCTGAAAACTACTGCATCATTGCCTTCCTCTGTCTAGCAGTCGAAGTCAAATTATTAACAGATGATCTGTTCTCATAGGTGACAGGATATGGCAAGGGAAAATGAACCTGAAAAATAAAGTGAAGATGCTGAAATGCAGACATCAGGTTTTCTGCAGCTTGCTACATACCCAGTTTGGGGAATGGAGGAGAAGGCAGCACACTTATTATATTGCCTTCTTTCTAATAAAATCCATCGGACACTTTATCGTTGTTTGAGATAAAGATGTGTCACCCACCCTGTATTTAGAAAAGAGAGATAATGACAAAAGAATGACTACTTCCTGCTGCTCACCCAGCAGAGCCAGTTAGCGCAAGAAGCTGCTTTTTTCTTCTCCTAAGAATATCCCCTCTGGTTATGTACTGCAGCTTCACTACTTTGAGAGTCAGTGTAATTCTTAATCTGCCAGAAGTTTATATTCTACCTCTGGGAAAGCAGAGAACATACATATGCTATGTGTTTTATTTTTTAGGAGAAGACTGATGTGGAAGGAACCTTATTTGTTTATACAAGGTAAGATTATTTTACTTTAAGAAAGAAAATGACAATCTTCAAAATAATATTTTAGCTCAATTGTGTCATTCTTCAAACGCAGTTTTATTTCAAAGAAGTAAAATAACCCAATCTTAGTTTGAAATTATTAGCTGACAGGAGGAAAAGAATACTACATAACATCCCTTGGTTTATTCTGCTGAATACTGATTTCAGGATATAATTTAAATCTCAATATAGATTAACTTAAATTTTTGTGTTCTGTTTGAAATAATATTAAATATTCAGTGATTCAAATGAATGGTACAAAGTTTTTGAATAATGCATCAGGGAGGAACTGAAAGTACACTGTTCGGAATGTTAGATTATTTAGTCAATATTTGGAAAAGTGTTTAATTGACCACCCCCAACCCCCACTGTTGACGTTAAAAAAACATAGTCCAAAATTGAAGATATCTTTCAGTACTTTACTGTCTAGTTAACAGAATGTGTTTCAGGATAGATTAAGATTATTAATAAACTCTTACCCTTTCCATTCCTTTTTTATCAGATATTCTTAACCTCACACATGTACAGTGATATACAGTATGTATATTGTCTTAATAGCTACTTTATGTATTTATTTATTTATTTGTTTATTTATTTATTTATTTTTTGGTACCAGGGATCAAACTCGGGACCTTGTGCTTATAAGCTAGGCAGCAGAACCACTGAGCTAAATCTCTGGCCCTATAGCTAATTTTTAAATAAACATTCATTAAGATGTCTCAGCTAAATCCTATCACCTCCCATACGTGCAAAGATGAAATACAAAAGCTTAGCACAAACCCTTCTTGGGATGACAATTTAATTGGGGAAAAAGGAAACACACACATATATGTTAGATGTATTTTCTTTACACATATATTCATGTTTAATATAAATAAAGGGGCTGAGAGTATATGTCAGTGGTAGAGTGCCTGCCTGGCATGAGCCAGGCTGTGGGTTCCACCCCCGGTCCTGCAAAGAAAAACAAAAGGATAAACAATACAGATAGACTTCAGAGCAGGTGAATAGATTATAGGTAACAAATTGGCTACTATGTTAGTAGAATGCTTGATAGAATTGATGTTTATACAGGATAATTTTACTTTTAGACTTGTATAGAGAGAAGTTCAGGCAGTCCCAATGGGAAGAATGGCAAAAGCAGAGGCATAGAACCTAGAATGTGAAAAGTACAGTGAGGAAAATGACTATTGCAGAGGGCTGATGCTTACATGGGCAAAGAGATCTGGTGACTTGGAGTGGCACACTAAGGCTTCTGAAATTTATTTTCCCAGCAGTAGGGAGTCATTAGAGGTTTATGAACAGTAGACTATTAGAGTTGTGAGAACATATGGGGAAAGCCAGAGTACTAACATTATGAGGATGTACTGGCTCTAGAAGAAATTGGATTCAGGAGGACAGTGAGAAAATTATTGCCATGGAGCAGATGTGAGGTAGTGCAAGTTGGATCTGGCATGGGTTGAAAGGAGGGGGCATCAAAAGGCAGCCTGAATAGAGGGTGTTAAGGTTAAGAAATAATATTTTTTGAAAATGGAATATAGAGACAAAATAGTTGGCAGAATAGGAAGTTTAAGTTGAGTCTGATTTGAGAATAAATTTTCACTTTTTAGTTTGTTTGCAGTGCTGAGAATGATACCCAGGGCCTCACACATTAAGCATGTTATTCTACCACAGCAACACCCGCAGGCCTTAGTCTTCAGTTTTTTTGAAGTAATGGTTTTGGAGTGGTAGCAGAACATTCAAATGGAGATAACCAGCCGCTTGGTATAGGGGCAGACCTGGAAGTAGAGAGTTTGGAGTTGTCTGAAGTTTTTTAATCTCTTTCCCAAATATAATTCCTCAAGAATAAGATGCCGGCTATCCCACCCCACCCTTTATCCTGCCCTCTCCCAGATTCTGGTGTGCTGGTCTTCCAAAGGGAATTGGATGTACAAATAATGGAGCTGCCTGTGATACACTTTGACTTCTCTTCCAGAAGTTTACTTTAAATCAACTGTCACCTTCATTCCTGGGCCTATTCTATAAACCATGAGATGGTATAGTCCTCACACCATTAAAGACAGATGTGTGTTCCTATTGTGATAATGAGAATTAGGAAGAATCAAATTCTGATTTTTTATTTTTTTGGTACCGGGGATCAAACTTGGGACCTTGCACTTTCGAGGCAGGCAGCGGAACTACTGAGCTAAATCCCCAGCCCGCATTCTGATTCTTATACAAAAACACCTGACCCCACTTTAAGAGGTATTTCCTCATGTCTTCTGTCTGTGATAGAGTTCATGGAGACACCCACTGGTGATTTCTGAACTTGGCATTCCAGGTGACATGTCAATTTTAAGGAGTACATTTTCATCCTTTTCAATCTAAATTGAGATGATTATTATGATTATTTCTGGTATTGATTATATGCCTATCATCACTTTACTTCTTTGTAAAATAAGCCAAGCAAAGATTACCTTCTCTCCATTTGAAAATTGGAGATTTTAAAAGAAAATCCTGTAATCAGTAATGTAGCTGTGTTTTACCTCCTTAAGAGCATCGAATGGTTAGAAGTGAAATAAAACCAAGATGTAAACATTTTTCTTCCTGTTGTTCACACCGTTTCTGTGGGTTTGTTAATAACAACCCTACTGCCCTACTTTAAAATAAATAAGTGAATTCAGTTTCAGTGTGTATGTATCTGGCATTTCATTTGCCACCAGAAATTGTGCAGTTGAATTACTAGATGGCTGTTACCCAAGAGCAGGCAATATGCATGTAGCTGTTAGAGTATATACTCTGTATAATTTGAGTCCTTTCTGCAGGCGAAGGAGGCATTCAAGATTTGTTGAATGAGATGAAAAATAAAAAGTCACCATATATACTTTTTATTGAGAAAAACTTTTATAGTAGTTTATCTGTGAAGCCCTTTGCTTTATACTGGAGGAAGCAAAATATATGCACATTGAACCTTTATGTAACCTTTTAGTTTGTAATGAGTTGCTTCATTTCTCTTAGAGATCTTACAGCTCTCAATTTCAGACCAACATTAACATTTTTCTATGAAAAGTTATTTGTATAATTAGGATATACACTCTATGTAAACTAAGATCCTTTAAAAGTGTCTGCACTATTTTAAAAAGTAGTTATCTCTGCCTTAAAGGAATTTATAACATAGGGAAACAAGATACATGTTTATATCACAAGATATATACATATATATATGCACACATATATACACATAAATAGTTAGAGAAGGACAATTCCATTTTATCCAGAACTAACCATAACAATCATGGTGTCTTACATATGAATTAGTACATAATGATGCCAATAGTGAAGAAATTTATTGTGTGTACAGTCAGCTTCTGTAAAGCTATATATATACACAAAAGGTTGAGAGACACATCAGGATGTATGAGGTGTGATGGAAAAATATGTGAATGTTTAGATAAAAAAATATTAAACTAAAAGACGCATTGCCATTAATCCCCTTCAGAATGCTCCTCCTTGCTTCAAACACACTCCAATGTTCTTGCCACTTCCTGAAGCAATTCTGAAAGGTCCTCTTTCATAAGTGACTTTAGTTGTGTTGTTACGGCTGCCTCAGTGTCCTGAATCGATTCAAAACATTCATCTTTAATGGTCACTTTGACTTTGTGGAAGAACCAGAAGCTGTACAGTGCTGGGCCCAGTGAATAAGGTAGATGAAAACACACAGCACTGGTTTTTTTTTGGACTGGGGATCGAACTTGGGTCCTTCCACTTGCAAAGCAGGTGGTGAAACCACTGAGCTAAATCCCCAGCCCAAACGCCTATCTGATTTTTTTTTTTTTTTTTTTGGTACTGGGGATCGAACTCAGGTCCTTGCACTTGCGAGGCAGGCGGCAGAACCACTGGACTAAATCTCCAGCCCAGCGCTGCTTTTATGAGCCTGACTTTCCATTGAATGGCACTTGGCAGACGTTCTCACTGTATTTTTTAAATAATCACACCCCATAAAGACAGTCACAAAAGAGGACTTGCAAAACTGCTTCAGAAAGTGGCAACGACAATAAGATAAGATGGGTTTGAAGCAAGGAGGACTATCATGAAGGGGAGTAAGGACAGTATGTCTTTTACTGAAATAATTTTTTTTAAAAAAAAAAACTTAAACATTCACTGTATATTTTGATCACAGCTCATAGTTACATTGCATGTATAATATATTGAGCAACTTGTCTTTGACCCTTTTCCCTACTTCTCTCCTTCTGATCTTCAGGTCTGCTTCTCCAGAGCATGGATTCACCATTATGAATAGGCTGAGCATGGAAAATAGGACAGAACCCATTACTAAAGACCTGGATTTCCAACTCCAGGACCCTTTCCTTCTCTACAGAAATGCCAGATGTGAGTCTCTTAATACATTGGGTAGTTTTATTTCTGAAGTTTGACCAGGTGTTTAAAATTGTGAAGTGTCCGCCTTTATGTTTGCATTGAGTATCAGTGTCTACAGTCAGCAGGAGCTTGAGAAATTCATGCCTTATGAGAGAACTTTCTTGGAAAGTTCAAGCGCAAGGTTACTGAATGCTATTTTGAGCAGGATACTGCTTTGTAGTGTGATTCTGTCATTGACCATAAGCCTGAGTAGGGCTGGGGAGATGCAGACTTGGTGAGGAAACTACAAGGGACATGCAGATGGAGCCACTGGACACAGAATTAATAATTCAGCTAGTGGCACTTTTTCCTCATGTATCACTTCTAACCTTGCGTACTGACTGATAAAATCTTCCAGGGAGAGGGCCTCCATAGTAAATGAAAACTCAAAACTGAAGAGTTTGGTCCTTAAGAATTTAATGACTTTTCATAATGTTGAAGTTATAGAAGGTAATAAAATGGTCCTTGCCAGATTTGAAATGAAATAGTGGTCACATAGCTAGCTAATAGTCTATCCTCATTTTGTGCACTTGTCCTGTCTGACCAATTGTGTTGGTCCAGAGAAAGATTGATGAAATTATCAATTGCAGGGATATTGCCATACATAGAAAACAAAAACATACTATTCAGTGTATGAGTATGCACTTTAGGCACTATAGATAACTTTCAAAAGGACCTTGCAGTTAAGAAATGTTTTCTCTCTATGTATTTTTCACACTACTCTTGGCATTTAAGATACGAGAATTTGCCTACTGTGTATTTAGTGTAATTTTAATAAATATAAAAGTAATATTTGACAGCAGTCCCAGTGAATCCTTTCAAAGTAAATGTAGTGAATGTAGTGTCCTTATTTTTTTCTTTCTTGGTGGTATTGGTGATTAAACTCAGGGCCTTCACACAGAGTAACACCCTCAGCCCTTTTTTTAGAAAAGGAGCTCATTAAGAGCCTAAGTTGCCTAAGCTAAGTTTGTGCTTTTGATCCTCCTACCTCAGCCTCTCAATGCTGAGATTACAAGCATTCGCCACCATGCCTGGCTTTGCAGCAGCACTTTAATGTATCAAATATGATGTTATATTTACTTACATTTACATATAATTAAGTTGCTATGATAGGTGGTAATCCAAATACTTAGAATTAAATTTTTTGTGAGATTAATTTTTACAGTTAAATATTTATGAGAGAAAAACTAAACTATCATGACTTAACAGTGATAGGTCCTATGAAATGAAAAGTTTCACAATACAAAATCATTGCAAAATATTGCTGCCTGTTGTTTCTTTGCTGGCAGATGTACCTTATCAGTTGTAACATTTAGTTTGAATTGTTTGTGTACTTATAGTTAGTCAGGTTTTTTTTTTGGTACTGGAGATCAAACTTGGGACCTTGCACTTGCGAGGCAGGCGGTGGAACCACTGAGCTAAATCCCCGGCCCCAGGTTTTATTTTTTGCGCTTACTAAATTCTAAGTTAAATTAATATATAATTCAAGTCCTAATAAAATAACTACAAAAATAAATATAGAATAAATGACTGTTAGTGACCTATCATAATTATTTTTGATTGGTTGTATTTAGGATAAATACTTGATCTAGTTAGTGTAGATAATATTTTTTAATATTTTATGTAAAATATTAAACATACAAAAATATAAACATACAAAATCTTTCTAATGTAACTGTCCTAAATCCCACAGAGATTATCTGATTTTTTTTTTTTTTTAGTACCAGGGATTGAACTTGGGAACTTGTGCTTTTGAGGCAGGCGCCAGAACCACTGAGCTAAATCCCCGGCCCCCACAGAGATTATCTGATAGGAAGTACTATTTGGATCTAATAAACATATATTAAGCCTCACCTTGATCCTAGGCATGAGCTATCCAGTGTGGTATAGTCAGTAGCTATGTGTGGCTGTGGAGCTTTTGATATGTGACTAATCTGAATTGCTCTGTGCTGTGCATGTAAAATACATATCCTTTTCCAGAGACTTAACACACACAAAAAAAGAATGTAAACAAAAATCTCATTAATTTTATATTGATTGACATGTTGAAATAATAGTATTTTGAATATACTGGGTTAAATAAAATATATTAAACTTAATTTCACCTGCTTCTTTGTATTTTTTTAGTTTAAAATTACATATGTGGCTCACATTTGTGCTTTATCTTATATTTCTGTCGAACAACACTTCTATTTTCATTTATCCATTTTCCCATATTTTCGTTTTCTTTTCCAATTTAAGTCACGACTGTGTAGGATAGACATTTTCTCTGCCTTTTTGCAGTTGAGAAAACTGAGGCTCTGTGAGGTGACAGGCCTGTATACAGATACACAAATTCCGATTCCCTAGAGTTGCTTTTTCCACACTCCCTAGACTGTACAACTATGAACCATGAGTGCAAATTGAAAGCAGCCTGGCAGTGTGTATTTGTTTCTAGTAATTTCCATATAAAAGAAGTAAAATCAATGAACAAGAGAGAATGGAAGGGAATGGATCTATTTTCCGGGTTCATTTTTCTTTTTTCTCCTCTCATATAAGATAGTGATTTTTTTAGTCATAGTTATTGGTTTTAGTTTTATTTACTTGTAAAAACCTGTTTAGTCTCTACTTGTTAGGGTCTCAGATGCCTCTTAAATGTTTTTCATAATTCAAATATTTTGTATTTGGTTTTCATAATAATTGCATTTCATTTTCTCATTCTCTGATAATGTATAGATTAGTTCACCATCCGGCTCCACTCATGGCTGGTTGTTTAAAGAAGCTTGTCCCTTCCAGATCAGATCAGTGTAGTCAAGAACATCTCTGTAGGATGTTGGCATTTCATTTCAGTCTATGTATATTCTAGGCTATATTTGAGCATTTCAGGTAGACCGAAGTATAGTTACATGGTTCATGTGAGTTTTCTCACAGAGTTTTTGAGACTTATTAGGTTAAAAAAAATCAGTGTTCTAGAGCTGTAACTGTCCTTCTCTTGAATTAATTTTAAAAGAGCAAAATAAAGACCTGAAAGTCCCAAACTCTTCATTTAATTAGCCAATAGAAGAAAAGATCTTTGATAAGTATTTTGAATTTGGATCAAACATAAAATAGATTATTTATTATAGAAAAGCATTTATAATCTTTTAACTTTGTTGTAATGAGATTTGACCTACATAGACTTTAAAAGTAAGATAGTATTAAAATTAGGGCAAAATTTCTTTCATTTACTAAGCATTTACTGTCTGTCGGATACTATATTAAGATTTTATATAGGTTATCTCATTTAATCCTCCTAACTTTTTCTTGGAAATACTGTCATTCCTGTTTTATAACTGAGAGTACTGAAGCTAAAGAGATTAAATAATATCCCATGGCCCATGACTATTTTTAAATGGGAACATCATTTGAATGAAAAAAGACCAACTTCAGGACCCCAGGCCCAAGCAGTGAAAATGCTAGCAGTGAATAATGCATTAGAACAAAGTTTATTTGTAAGAAATATTTAATCATTTTAGTGTATACTCCAAAGTTTACAAAGCAGTTTTTAAATTTGAGAATTCATTCTATCAGTTATTATAGAGATGATCAAATAAAAACTTAACAAAAAGCTAAATATGACCACTTCTTTTATGTTGTTCATGGGTAGTAGCTATTTACTGTATTTTCCATTTCACAACTACATACAATTTTGTTGTATGGGAACATACTGTAGAAATATATTTTCCCAAATATAGTACCATACTTAAGTTGTGTACAGCAGTGACAGATTTCAGGGCCAGGACAACATATTGACTATATTACTGTCTGGGGTAACAGAATTAGAGTGAAATTCTTTTTGGATGCTTGATTTCATTGCAGACGTAAGTCTGGAGTTTAGTCCAAATCAGAAAAGGAATTAGAAGATATTTGAACTACATAAAATGAGGATGTAACATGTAAAATGCAACTATAGTTGGCCATATAGAGGAATTTATAACACCAAATTGTAATTAGAAAAGAAGAAAGGTCTCAAATCACTAATTCAAGCTTCTTCCTTTTGAAAATAAAAGAATAGCAAATTAAACCCAAAGCAAGCAGAAGAAATGAAATAAGAACAGAAGTCAACAAAATAGAAAACAGAACAGCAGAGAAACTCAGTGAAACCAAAAGCTGATTCTCTGAAAATAGTCAATGAAACTAAAAAGCCCCTGGCCAAACTCATGGAGGAAAAAGCATGCACATCAGCAATGTCAGGAATGAAGGAAGGATTATTTGCAGACACTCAAAGGTGATAAAGGAATGCTATGAATTACTCTGTGGCCATAGATTTGATAACTTAGATGAAATGAACTAATTTGTGTTTCTGAAAAACGGAGATCATTAAAATTCACTCAAGAAAAAATAACCAGCCTGAATAGTCTTAATATCTATTAAGAAAATTGAATTTTCTCATATTTTTTCCTTTCCCCTACTCTTCCCACTTTCTCTTCCCCTTTAGACCTTTTCTTCCTGTTTCCCATTATCTGTTATACATTTTGATTCTTATTTACACTTTCAGTTTCTCACACCAGAGAAACTATTCAGTATTTACGCATGTGTGTCAAAGTCTTTGTAAATAGAGCAGATTGGAGGGGTTGACGGGAGGGCAGGGGAATGGGGACAAAATAAGAACCAAGATATATCATGTAAGGGTACAAATTCCCAATGATGAATGTCATCATATTGTATACCTAAAATGTACCAATAAACTTAATGGAAAAAAGAAGAAAATGGAATTTTTTAGTAAACACCCTAACAAAGAAAACTCCAGGCTGAGATTACTTCACTGATGAATTTCACCAATCATTCAAGGAAGGAATAATAACAATTCTACAAAATCTCATCCAGAAAGTAGAAGAGGTAAGAATATTCCCAATTTATCTTATGGGATAACATTACCTCAATATCAAAATAAGACAAAGACATTACAAAGGAAAGCAGTATCCCTTGTGAATAAAGATATTAATATTGTCAAC